ATGCACAGATGGTCCGCGAACAGTGATTCCTTCCCGCGGCCAGACTATATTTATTATATTATTACAATTGCCTTGATGTGTGTTCTCAAATTTGAGTTTGAAGACACTAACTTAGACATGTATTTTATTTTGGGTTTACAAGAAGCACTAAAAATGTAACTTCAAGAAAGTTAGATCAAAAGTTAATAGTTACCGATAAAATGTAACTAAATTAAGTTAAAAGTTAAGAGCCTAAAATGTAACTAAGTTAAGTTAAAATTATTTAGCTTTTTAACCTTTTAATTTAATTTTTATCTTTTTAACTAGGCACTACCAAACCCTGAATAAGTGTAATACTTAAACCTGAGCATAGTGAATGTGAGACGAATAATCGACTATGATTGGGATCAGTTTCTTACAGCTTAACACTTACTACACACTGCATCTATTAATGAACAATTAGATGTAAAATAATTCCTCTTCATTCACGATCAGAACAAAATCTTAGAGATCTTAGAGATTCATTTTGCACCATTTTTCCCCCTTCCTTTCCTAAGTCGCTCTATTGAACTCATTGTTATCTTTCTTATGTATTTATTTTGAATCATGAAACGATCATTAGTTCGCAGAACCTGCAATCTTTTTAAATGTTCTTGAACTACTATAGATGCGTGTGAAGATAACGCATTCATGGATTCAACGCGCTGGATAACAATGTGCGCACGCTTGCATCGCTCTCATCTCAATATATTCCAGGTGATACTCTAGGCAAGAAAGCTCTTTTTGAGAAAGTTTAGTGAAGTGATTTAAAATGTAATAATTCATAAACAATGAGGTTTAGGATCGTATCCTTTTGGAATTGTGAGGCACGTATGGAGATACATTATCCGTCTTGCATTTGAATTCAAGCGGGAGCCAAAAATAGCCCAAATCACAACCCCTTCTTTCACTTTATAAATCAAATTTTTTTGGGTGTATTATTATGTTAATATTACTAATTTAATTGTTTTAAAAAGAATTTTACATATTATATTTAACATTTAACGTTTCTCAATTAATTTTGAAGTCGTATCTAGATTAAAAATGATTTGTGGTGACATGCAAAATAAATTTTTCCTTTTTTACTGTGCATTGCTCTGCACAGAACTCTGATTGGTTATAGGACAAGCTTTTGATCCTATCACAATTTACTCGAATTGAATCACAAACAGAAAAGGAGTACGAAAAGTTTTCAGGGAAAAAGTAAAAAAGGTACAAAAGTATTTGTATTCTGTTTTCTGATTCAAAAAGTATATATATATTCTTCGAAAAAATTAGATCATTCTAGAAAAAGACATCGAGTTCAATTATTTTCCATAAGAAATTAGCAATTATTAAATATCTCGTGATAAATAACTCTAAATATAAGTTATACGTTATTTATGGAAGCAAATATTGTGTACAATTTAATCATTTCAAAAGAATCGAGAAGAAATTTATTACAGGAAGCAATAAGAGAAAATTATAAATTATTGTTTCATCGTAATATTTATATATATAATCAATATCATTTTTGAACTTTTCAGTTATTATCGGAATGTCACATATATATAAGACAAATCGAGTCGAACAGCGTTGCAACATATTTAATTAGTACGTACATCAATCGTAATTAAATCTATTAATATTCGTCAACTGCATAAATTCAGTGTTTGCACATCGGGTTTGTAATTTATTAAAAGGATCTTCCATCATTGGAAATTTCGTTTTATTTCCGTTGTTGCTGTTTACCGAGATTCGTAAATGTCGAGCGAATCATAGAACTTCGAACATTTTTCGCATTGTTTTTAAACGTATTACCTCTGGTTTCCATGGACGCGTTGCCACATGTTATAATGTGCGTCAAAGATACGCGTTAAAAAAATCACGCATTTAATTGTGATAACCCACATGGTGGAAGAGTCATTATTTTATTTCCACTATGATAACCCATAGAAACGCATATTTAACGTGTGTTATAACGGTAACACCTGCATAGAAGGATTACACCAAGGATTACACTCTGTAGGATGATTTTTTCTTTCATAGAATTCTGTACCATCGCTATAAGTCCTTAGAAATAATTTATAAAAATAGCGGATTTTATCCATTGACTTAAAATAAATCATTACAAAATATGTATATTAAAATTGCTTGGACGGCGATTGTATACCATTTTCGAATAAATACGTCAGATTCATTCTAGAAATACGTCTATGATTTAATAAATTATAAAGTTATCGTAACTGTTGGCTTATTTAGAATAAAAGGTGACCGCGTATTTCCTCTCTAGGAAATGAATAAATAAACTAGTTACGGAAGAAACCAATAAACTTGCAATTAACAATAAATTAAATAACGAGCATTGAAAGCGATAATAAAAATATTCAAATTAAAAAATCTATATATAAGAAAGAAGATTCTTATTGAACTGGATCTGTTGCAGATGATAGATAATTATAAAACCAAAAAACAATTGTTTATTTTAAGAGGGAACACCACTGTAACGGCCGAAAAAAAGGCTATTTTCGTGAATTTTTTTTGCGATAATTAATAAAAGTTGTATGAATTATTATCTTTATATATTAAAAATACATATATTTTAGATTTTATAAAAAAAATCATAAATTAATGTTAATATTTGTGGCCTCCGTCTTCGATGACGTAAACCTCTATT